GACAAGACTTAAAGATAAACTCATTTCCTTACTAACTTGAAATGCTTAGAAGTTGAGGATAGCGTTGGCTTTAGCTACAGTAATGCTAGTCAATGCTACAAACTTTGAAAGATATTTCCTTTTCCCAAACAAATTTGTCTTTCCTTCATAGGTTTTCATACTCTACATTTGGGGCTTGGTGTTCGATGTCTTCCCCTTCATACTCTCCTGCACTATATTGATAATGGGGTTCTACGTTTGACAGAAACCTGTGTCAGGAAACTGCTGAAAGGTACTGTGAACATACTTGTTATGTTTCATTTGCTTAACAGACAACTTGTTGGGTGTGATGTCCTTTCAGCCATTCAGATACAGCCACAATATATCCTGATCAGGAGACTCAGCTTCTTCTTTATGAGTGCTGTTACAGTGAGGAGTGTAACTGTGTTGCTTGGCTGAAAGGAGAAAATTAAGAGTCATACTCTATGATTGACCCTTACTGTAGTAAACAAAGAAATATTGGAGGATTTCTGTGGTCATTTATAACTAGAAGCCCTATATTAGGAAGTTAAATAGCAAAATAAGCAAACAAAGGATAACCTGAATTAGCATCCCAGTGTTTTTAGTAAATTTAGTAAATTGCAAGTTTATTGTACTCTAAACATGAATCTATTCTAAATGTATCAATATGTTAACTAAAGGCAGGGGTTAAAACCAGTTCTGTATCATCAGGAGCAGTTGTTTGTGACTTTCCCCTCAGCAGGAGGTAAGCAGTGTGTTTCCACAAAGGAGGCTTAGAAGCAAACTAGCATACAATAGGAATAATTGGGGCATGAAGCACTGGAACAAAATGGGGAGTGGTACAAAGTAGCAGTTGTAGGTGCAGTTAGAATCACAATGGACACAATGTTTGTATTAATCTATGCCTTATTTTGATAAATATAATTTGAATTATTGTACAAATCATTACTTAAAATAGTGAAGCTGTATGCAGATGTCCAGAATAATATTCATATAAACTGTAAAAGTAACACTCCTACTAACCTTTATGTGAAATAAAAATTTTTGTCACAGAAATAGTATTTTTTTTGTATGTCTTCAGCGGAATTTGGAAGTTACGTGTTTGCTACTAAAGAGTTTGAGGTTTTTTTCACCTTTCTCTTGCAGATCTGGATGACAATGAGAAGAATGAAAAGCTGAAATTCAGTATTGTGACAAGGCTTCCTGAGGTGACTTTGGTTGTTATTCTTGGAATTTGGAAATGGGTAATGAAATTCCTCCCTGTGCATAGGATCCAGTCAACAGAAGACTTAGCTGTGACTCACAGAGGACACAGAAACAGACTGAACCTCCAAAGTTTCTCCATCTGCTGTTCATAACCTGTAGGGTACCTTGGTAACTTAAATTTTAGGTTTGTCCATAGTTTTCAGTGTGTCCACTGTCTTGCAGCAATCAAACAGACAAGACTGATGCTGTTCTGAGTACTCACACATAAAATAGTAATAAGGGTTTAGAGAGACTTTCTAAATATTTTTGTTTGTATTTTTAGTATCCACAAATGTCTTTCTCATTTGTAACCTTCTTGTGCATTGTTTGTTCATTTTATCAAATGCTTTCAAAAGCTGGTACAGTAGAAATTCTGATCAAATCAGAGATCTGTGGTGATTGAATTACAAAATCTTGGCCTCGCCCCTTGGTAAGGTGTTTGGGCACATGCTCTTGATGCTCCTTTGAAAGTTACAACAATGGGAGATTGCTTCTTTCTTTTCCTTTTTCAATACTACAGAGGAAGCACAACGTCTGTGAGTGAGTGAAAGAAAATCAGGGATTCCCCTTTGGGAGTGCCTTGCTATAGAAAAGGCTTTTCTGGCCATAAATTGCTTATTGTTGTTCATTATGGACTGTTATGTGTAGTTCAAATGGCCAGAAGTGCTGCTAAAGTTTTCCTCTAACAAGGGCTTCTTTATTTGGCAGTAGTTTTGAGAAGGGGTAGGGAAGGAGAGCTTTACAAAGTGTTCTTTGTCCTCTGTATCTTGTTTTGGGCAGGGGTTGGTGAGTTGAGGTCATTGTGGGGACTCTGAGCTGTCAGCCCCAGGCCTGGTGGGTGGGGAACACCATTCCAAGTGCTCTGACTTGTGCTTCAGGGGAAATGCACTGCTAGTTACACACAGTCGGCTCAGTGCCTTATTGTGTCTATTTACAGCTTTGGGAAAAAATGCAGAGAATAGTTTGTTTGCTTAAAAGGACACTTTGGGGTGACTTGGACTATTTTGAGTTCAGGTTACATTCACTAGATGACTTCAGAAGCAAGTATTTCAGCAACGCTGAAAACCCTTCAGTGTTTCTTAAATGAACTCTTTCAATAGTCTGTATTTCATTACAATTGGAAGTGAGAGGAAAAAGAATTGAGACTGGGAGAATAGCAGGAAAAGCTAATTTCACAATGTGTTCATGTTTGCTTTCTTACTAATTAGGATTGGAAGCTTTGGAACAATTCAGTTTCGATTTCTTGCCTTCAGAATCAATTTTGCCATTTCCCAGACAGTGCCCTAAGTAATGGGATATAAATTCTGTTCCCAGTATCTTTCCTTGTTGGCATTCTGTTTTTGTAAGCTTTCTGCCACTGAGCCTATTCTGAACACAACATTGATAAGTTGGGCATTATTGCTCTTCTCTGTGAGAAGAATGATTCTAAACCACAGTCACAGTAAAAAATAGTCATTTTATGCCCCAGTTGATATTTCAGTACACATGCAAAGTGGGACAGATTTAATACTGATTGATTGATTGAAACTTAGTGAGTAGCTCAGTGGGCGCTGAGTAGCAAGGATTTGATCATTCCCCATGTTCTGGGGGTTTATGATAATCTCTTAGTTACTGGCAAAGTAGTCTGTGTTAAAGCCTAGATTTCATTTTTTTTTTTTTCTCCCCTCCTATTTTTTCCCACTATATTTCCACTGTTCTGTTTTGTTACTGATCTTTTGGGGATTTTACTTACTAGGCTCTTGGTCTAAAGGCCCGTCAGTTCTGGGATCATCCAACAAATGCTAATTTCCTTGCACGGAAGTATGTGAAACTTTTGCTTGAAAAGCTGGGGACCAGGCAGGTAAGACGTTCAGATTCCTGACCTTGCTGTCTGCCATAAGGCACTGAAGGTAACACTGAAACTTGGTAGCGTGCAAACTAATCTGAACTGTTCTCATTTACAGTGTAGCAAGCCTGTCCCTGAGAGATACCCAGTCCCTGTAGAATTTTTGCCTCTTAACTACCTGACTAATGTGCTGGCAGAGATAGAGAATCAAGGTAACTTTAATTCTGTACTTTGGAAGATTGGTAATTGCTGCCCTTTAATGCTCACACTGCTATAAAACTCTAGTGATGTCTGAACATGTAGGTTTAGTTGTTGATGGGAATCAGAGTGCTTCTTGACTGTGTATTTTCTCATTCAGAATCCTCTCTGTGTTGAATGCAGTTGCCAAACTGGCATACAGAGTGGTGGTAGCTGTTATTCTGTGTTTAAATGGGGAGAAGGGCTTGTACATTACTTTTGCAGCATGGTAGCTAAAGCATTGCCTTTTGTCCAGTAAGTAGAGGTAGATCAAATCAAATCTTCCACTTCAGAGAAGAATGCTCCAGTGGGGGGTGCATTTCTAAGCTGTTCCTTTTTGTGAAATGAAATTCACGTTAGTCACAGTACTTGCTTCATGCAGTGAAACAGATGCATCCAAAGATTTTGAATTCCACTGAAAAAGCAAAATGCCCTAAGGAAGCATTACACTGCTTAGTGCAGTTGGCTATACTTTTACTAATAAATGAAGTAAAGGTGTGATAGGGACCTGAGTATTAATACAATATTCTCATGTATGGATATCAGCCTATTTGGAGGAGGAAAAAGTTAAACCATACTGATGCATAAAAGAACGTACTAGCACAAACAGCTGCTATGCTTAAATCTTATTTCACTTTCCAAGGTAAAATTAGTATGGAAATTCCTAGCAGCCTCCAGAGATAGTCTAGCTTTCTTCCACATGGGGCATAATTTACTGATATCCCACTAACAGGAAAGCATATGCCATGGGTGAGCATCAGACAACTGCACTGAAAGCTGTAGGTATTTTATTTAGATGAAAACACAGTTCCATCTAACGCCTTACCTTTTGGTATTGTGGGTCAGGATGTTTAGTAGACTGCAGGACTTACTGTACAACAACACTTAGATTTGCAAATACTGATTTTCTAATGGTGTTTTTCTAGGTGTGCATTCGTATGAAAAACAAGATCATATTGATGTCAGGTTTGTGGAGGAAGCAGCGCTGAAACACACGATGATGCTCTTGGGCCTCAGATATTCCTGAAATGGCTTTCTTCAACTGCGTGTAAATTGTGGTACTCAAAATCATTCACATACAAGTGTGCAGCCAACTGTGATTTTTTTTTTTAAACTTAAATGTCATGTTTGCTAATTAATCTGCAGTTTTGAGTAGGCCACCATTACTGACATCAGCTACTCAAAGTAGCAATTGTCCAGTGCACTAAGGCTGAAATTACTGACCTCTAGGTAAATTGCAGAGAAATGCATCTGACGCAGACCTGGGTTTCCAACACATCTCGGGTTTCAGGTCTGAAGTGGTCAAATCAGTGGAACTAGTGGGTACCAAAACATGCTGTGAAAAAATATTACTCTCAACAGTTTTAATGAGACAGACAGTGCTGGAAAGGGTAGTCCAGCTGTACAGTAACAAAAAATTGGCCACTGTTTACTCACTTAGACTAATAAAGGCATTTCTTGATGTGATGATGTAAAATAGGTAAGAATAACAAATGAGGCATCAGTCTTTGTATATAATCATCAATAATGATACTCATTCCTTGTGGTGGTCATGTATTGTCTTACGGTACTTCTGCCTTTGGAGTGGGATTCTAATATATTGAGCTATAGTAATTAGCACAAAATGTAGTCTCCTTAAATTATATGGGAGAGGGATTTTATGTTTTTTTTTTGTTTGTTTTTTTTGTTTTTTTTTTTTTAAGATGCTTATAATATATTGAATGCAATGCAGGACAAGAAGAAAATTCTTTGGAAATGTATCTTCACAGCAGCATGGAATGAGTTTTACTGAATTTTTTTCTTCTAACTTTTAGTATTATGGTTCAAAACTCAGCTTCAGGAAGAACTGCTGGAGGTTGTTTTCTCCTCATTTTCAACTATTATTTATGAATAATTGAAGTGGGTTTAGTTTTTGGTGTGCACTTTTTCCTATTTTGAACAGTGACATAAATTTTTGTCAGTTGAATAATTTTTTTCAGTCTTGGACTGTGGAAAGCTGTGGTGGTGTATTTGTGTAATATGTGGAGACTTCATTCGTGTGCTATTGATAACCAGAGAAGATCTTCTACCTTATTCTTTTTAATGAAATGTGCTGTAAAATAGATGCAATAAAACTTGACCTGAAAAAACAAAAGTGTGGTATGATAATTACTCATTTTAAAATACTGCAGTGCATTTGGCATACCAGGCTCCACCTAGTCAGAAGGAAGGAACTTGTATCACTGAGTATTTAGCTGTGCTTCTGGCATTAAGTACTACTTTGTTTACCGTGTGGAAGTTGGCTATACTCTAATGGGCATTTCATGTAGTCTGAATGCTATTGACTTGTGATACTCAGCAACTGGTAAGGGTTTCTCTTCCTCCTGGTGCTGTCTTCTCAGATTTCAATTGGCTTTATAATTGGTTTTCTGAAATGTCTCATATTTGAACCGGGTTCGCTTGGCTTGAAAGGAGCCAAAGCGCCATAGGGCCGTGGCACTGGCAGGCTGTATGCATCGTCTGGGACATAAGCAGTTGGCCGTGGTTCAGCTGTTGTGAGGACATGGCCGGGCACTGCAGCTTGTTCCTCTTCTGCAGCCTGCTGTAAAAGAAATGCATTGTGAGCACATCATGCCTGCTTGTTTTAAGGCTGCAGTCAGTACTCTTCTGAGCCAAAGTAGAAGATGCCCAATGAGGAAATAAAATGAGTCTAATTCTTAGCAAATCAAGAAACAAGAAAACACAGATGTGTATTTAAGTGTTCATTGAAAGGAAAGCATGATTTATTGACCATGTAGGTATGAGTTTGTCCTTTTAAATACTGTGTAGTTTGGGCCATATTGCTGTTGTTGAGAAAGAAAATTAGATGAACTTGCAGTAATTGCAATAAGTGTGCACAGACCATCTCAGGAACAAGATAATGGTTAAGATGATAATAGTTGAGATGCTTCAAAGCTCAGTTTGCATTTATGCTGACAGCAGCTGTTCTTGAATACTGTCACTGTACTGAAAGGAAACTGGGTCATAATATGAAAAGAGTGAGTGACAGAGGTTTCTTATTCTAAACCAGGTGACCTGCAACAGTTCTTCATGCCTTCAGGCTCTTTAAATGTAGGTACTATGTGTTCCTCTCCCAGCTTTGTGTTCATTTCAGATTTCTTTGGAGAAGGGATTGTATAGCAAAGCCAGTTCCTACCTGCAGGTGTTCTCTCAATTATTGAATCTCAGTTGTATTTGGCTATCTTATCAGTTAACTCAAAACACTATCACATAAAGCAAGATCTACTTTTGATTATTAAAATAATTTGAGTGTAACATATCCTCTGCTTAAGGTTTTATGACCTGCTCTATCTGAGCAGTGTGCCATACTGCAGTTTGTAATTCCAGAAATCCACAGTGTGCTGGTTTTGTAGTGGCCTCTGTCTGTCCCATCATCTCCACCAGCTCCTGGAGCCCATGGTTGTCAGTGAGCAGCTGTGCATTGAGTTAGTGCTGCACTTTCAGAAGGACAAGCTAGAGCAGAAAAAAAGGAAGAGCCAAAGCATAACACAGAGCAAAAACTTACTCTAGCTCTGGCCTCTGCTGCTTCTTTGTGCATCTTCTCATCGCGTAAAACCTTCAACCATTCAATCTCTGTCTCTTTAGGAGGAGGAAGGCCTTGATCTATCCTTGATGAAACAATCATCAAAAACTCTTCTCTGTCTCTCATTTCCTGCTGGAGTTTAATGGCAAGTGCTTGCTTCATGGATAACTCTGCCACAAGAGCCATCATCTTCTGGGTCCTGTCTTTTATCTTCTTCTGTAGTTCATTTATCTGGAATCAGAAACCAATTACATTTTGGATATTTAGTAACAACTACAACTGTAGACACTTACTGGATGTGGTACTCAGGTAAGTGAAAGTAAGGTTGGTGAAATCAACTGTGTTTCAAAAATTAACTCTATTCTTGAAAATAATGAAACACTGTCTGTTTCCTGTCTATACTTGGAACCATGCAATCATACAGCATAAAAAGCCACATTTACTCCAATGTAAGGTTAGAAAATATCAACTTTGTAATGCTATCCTGTTCTTCACAGATGATGAACAAAATTTCCATTTACCTCAAAGGAAGCTATTAAGCCTGGATTCTCATTGAGCCTGTGCACAATTGCTGCATTATTAACAAGTGTGTTAAGTCCAGTCCTCACAAGGTAGTGACAACGTGACATGGGTGTTTTGTGAGGTGTTGAATTATTCTTTATTATTCTGTTATTATACAGAAAGGGAACAGAGTGGGAATCTGTGATTCTGACTGCAGAGACGTTAAAAGAGCTGAAATGCTGTTTTTAAAGTAACATAGGGAATTGGTAGAGCCAGAGCATAAACGTCTGGCACGCTGCCATTTGTACAGTAATTTGTTGGCCAATGGCTGTAATTTCACAAAGGCAAATGGCAGCCATGTTATTTCTTTCTGTAGAAAATGAAAGGTTTCCTCTAGAGATTTTAAGCCTGAGTGCCAGAGATAATAACAAAGAAAAGAACATCAGCCCTGGCCTTGTTGTACGTTAATTACATCACTGTTGTTTGGTTTTTTTTTCTCTCTCACTGGGTTTGGAGCTATTTGGAGCTTTTTCATCAAGGAGGTGGAGGTGGGAAGATTTCTTTTTTTCTTTTTTTTTTTTTTTTTTTTGCTTCTACTGTGTTATACACTTCCTAAGCAACCTCAAGTAATTTACTTAAGGATCAGGCCTCCTGTCCTTCCATTTTTTGCAGTTTTTGTTTAATATCTGGATTAGCTTGTTTTAAGGAAGTATATGCCAACTGCATAGCTTCCCTTCCTGCTTTGTATCTCGTGTCTGGAAGCACTTGATATGAGAAATAACTTAGTGCACATTTTGATAAAAGATCAATTGATGCTGCAATTTTCTTTCAAAAAGAGAGTCCATTCAGTCCATTCCTAATGCTCTTGCTGTGCCTTTATTACTATTATTACTAAATGTCTGTCATTTCTTCAGACTAATGTACAACCTGCCTGTCACTAATTCCACCTGCTAGTAATTTGCAAGCAAGTCATCTCGCCTGCTGCCCAGATAGAATTTTGCTTCCTAGGAGCCAGTGAGCAGAGCGTGCCCTCCTTACCCTTGTTGCTAACAGCAGCGTGCCCTGCTTCCCGTTCTCTGCTGTGGCACGGATCTTGTCTGTGAGCCGGGCAACGTGTTCGTAGATCAGGTCTGTCTCCAGCAGCTTCTCCTCCTTCTGTACCAGCTCCACCTCCAGCTGCAGTGGGAGGAATATGCACAGCACAGGTAAATGCTGGGGGAAAGTGAAATGGAAGGTGTTCCTGTGGCTGCTTGGAGACACCTTCGGAATTAATGTACTTAAGCAGCAATATTTTTCACCAATAGTTTTCCCAAATTACATCAGCATTACTACTGCTTTGCCATGATTTTAGTGAAAACCATGATTTTTTTTTCTAGTGATTTTTTTTGTTTTGTTTTGTTTTTAAATTTCTGGTTGAGTTACAGGCATTATAAGTTTCAGCTCTTGCTTGCAGTAATCTTCCCCTGACAGCTTGCTGTTAAAAGTGAGCTCCAAATACGAAGAAAGTACTGTGCAACTGAAAGGACTTAAAAGCATAAGGAGAGGTTGAATGGGAACATTAAATCTATGTTCTGCATTCACAAAATCCAGTTTTCTAAAGTTGGTGAGGTTGGTACAGGTGAGCTATGACCCTGTGCCCACCCAGCCCTGTTGGGATCCCTCCCCTGCCAAGGGACACGAGGAAGTTAAGCAAAAGGTTGGAGCAATGCAAGGGGCCCCAGGAAGTGTTCATGTTGAATCACTGCAGTCAGCCCTTCAGTAGGAGGATGTGGGTGAGAACTGCATTGTGCTTGCAGGTACCTGAATACCTGCAGAGCAGAGGGGATAGTGCACTGGGATTTTCAGACCCACCTGAAGCACAGAATAGAGCACGTGTGTTTTGTTTTGTTTTTTTCCCCTGTAAGTAAGATAGACAATAACTAAAAACATGGCTGCTCCTTCTGTCCCTTTTCCTTTCTGACTTTGTGCAATGCAGGAGGTGCCCTGAAATTGGCTTTTGTATTGGACTTAATGTTTTCCTATGCAGCCCCAGGGGGAAAGCACCACAGGGGTGCAGCTGGCCTGGGAGCCTTTGGGTACCAATCTCTTCTGGGTCTCTGTTTGGAGTGGGGATAAAGCAGAAAAGCCAATCACTGTGGAGAATGCTGGTTTAACCCTATGTCACATGTACAGGTGTTATGTTGAGAGGATGGTGGGCCTGCCTTTGGTTCACATGCATTAATGGTTTATTATTTTGTACACCCTTTGCTTTTTCTAAAAGAACTCAATCTGCAGTGTTAGGGGCTGTGCAGTGAGACCTGACGCTACCTGTTCGATCTTCTTCTGCAGTTCAGGTGGAGACGGGTCCTTCCCTCCCAGGTCTCGCTTTCTGCTCTCATTCATGGGGTCAACAAACATTTCCTCCATCTCTTTAATCCTGTCCTTGCACTGGGAATACTGGCAAACAAAAACACGCAAGGGTTACTTTTCTGACTAGAAGCAAAAAGCCCCGTTATTGCAGTAAGGGAAGGTCGTGGTGTGCCTGGTGCTGTGCCTCCGCAATCAGGGTGCTCAGGTGCACAGCTCATGGCCATGCTGCACTGCCTGAGCTCAGAAGCAGGACTGCAGCCTTGTTGGGAGTGCCTGAGGTGCTCTGGCAGCACAGGCCTGTGTCAGTCTGTGCTGGTCCAACTCTGAGAACATTTCCCTACACTGTCAGAAATGGCATTGTCTTGTCCTATTGGTAGTGAATGTGAGAGCTTGTGCCACAGAAGGGTCCTTTCAGGCGAGTGGTTTTAAAAGAAAAGAGGGGAAATTTAGTTTAGATGCTGGGAAGAAGCTATTTACTCAGAGGGTGGTGAGGCGCTGCCCAGAGAAGTGCTAGGTGCCCCATCCCAGGCTGGATGTGGCTCTGGGCAGCCTGCTCTGGTGGTTGGCAACCCTGCACATAGCAGGAGGGTTCAAACTAGATGATCCTTATGGTCCTTTTCAACCCAGGCCATTCTATGATTCCCAGAGTACACAGATGGAACTCCATGTCTTCTCAGTTGCTTGCTGAAGGAGTGACTGGGAACATTTCCTCATGTCTGGACTCACGGGGCAGGCCACAATGGCTGTGTGCCTGATGTGCACCTGGCTATCTGTCAGCACACCGTCACGCCCTCTGCATTTGTTGGAACGCAAGCATGGTGACTTCCCTGTTAGTGCTAACCTGCAGCTAGGGGTGGTGACATTGTTGAGGAAATGATGCTCATAGCTCTGGAAAGGGTCATCACAAATATAAAGTGACTGTTTTGCCATTGCTATAGGGACAGGGTTTATTCACTGGAAGAGAACAATTCATGTTCAACTGCAAATGGGAAAACTGACAGTTATTTGCAGGTGATAATGAAATGTCAGCACTGTACTTGCTCTAAGCAGCTCTTTTCTGGGAAAAAGGTTCATGCAAATCTTTCCTTTACACTTTGTCTAAGAACAGACAGAGTAAAAGCCCTCAATATCTGTGCTGAGCAGCTTCCTTGTGGTTTGATATAAAATGCATGCCCTTCTGCATGCAACTCATTTCAGGCTTACTTAAAGGTTTATTTTAATTTTAAACAGCTGAAAATGGAACCCGGCAGTATCTGAGAACTACAAGCGGAAGAATGCAAGAACAGGGTGAGCACAAACAACAGGATGCAGTGCTGGTGCCAGAGATCTGGGGCCAATGGGCTCCAGCAGCAGCACAGCTGCAGGCACATTGCTGGAGGTGGTGGTACCTCTGTGGGATTAGTACAGCTTCCTGTGTTATACAGGTTTGAGTTGTTACTTCAGAGAAGGACTGATGCAGAACAAACACTGTCTGAACCAAGAAAAAAAAAATCCATGTTTCCTGATAAATGCTTGGCTTACTTTTACAGATGATGGGAATTAAATAGAAGCTAAACCAAAAATATGGAAAGCAAAGCACATTTGGAAATAACCGTGACATCATGTGTGTGCTTAAACAATGTAAGGATAGGTAAGTCTTAAAACCAGAAAAGACCTTTCTTGGAGTGTGTTTGATACAGGGAATGGGAAAAGGCCCTACAAGAATGGCTTTGCTGTGCTTGATGTAGATAACAAGAACTGCTGAAGAATGAAAAGATGAGAAGGAACACGGAGCAGATAGAGGGCTGCTCCGAGAGGGCAGGGCTCGTGTTGATTCTGTAAACTTCAGGGGATGTAGGGGGGTATCTCTTGCACTAGAAAAGAGCAAATATCACATCTGGTTTTTAAAGTGGGGGGAAACGGAGCTGCTGAATATAGATGTTATTAGTATTTATGGATGTAATATATAGAGATATAATTAATAAATCACTTTCTGAATAATAAATATGGAAAAAAATCATGAAGCTTTCTTTGTAAATAGCTGGAAAATAAAAGACTATGAATAATTGCTAACGTAGTTGTGCCAAACAGTTCGATCTCCTATTATTTAACCTGAGCATGGATGAGAAATGGTAGGTATCATACAGTTCGATCTTTACAGAAGTTCAGTATTGTTTCCTATGATCTCATCATAAACAAGATAAGGAAACAGGTTCTGGATGAAAATGTAAGGTAAGGACTACATCAGGAAGTGTACTCACAAAGCAAATGTGAATCAGTACATCATGCTGTTGCAAGAAGGACTACCAACATACCAGGACGTGTAAGCAGAAATGCCACCTGCCTGAATGAATCCTTTTGCTCTCAGCCGCTGCCATTAGGTGCTGCACTTGAAGGCAGAAAGAAAGGGAAGTAGAAAAGAAGGATTGAAGCAGTGCTAGCTCTAAGGGCTGATGCAAAGGAGTGGGGCTGTGCAGCCCAACAAAAGCATGGGAGACGAATGTGGCTGACTTTATTCCAGGAACGTGAAACGTTGCCTCAGGGAGGAAGAGAATGATCTGTTTGTTGTGTCCCTGGTGGATGGAAAAGAAATCTAAAGGCCTACACTGCATCAAGAGCGGCTCAGCTAAAGGTTAAGAAAATTATTCCTGTGTTATGGAAGTGCTGGGGCAGCTTGCCTGGGGAATAGGAGCTTCCACCAGGAAAGAGCAGCTGTGCCCTCATGAATGGCAGGCAGCCCCACTTGGGGCACAAGCAGGACTGCCACGAAGCTCTTCTCTCTGCTAGCCTTGGTTTTCTACAACTGATGCTGTGGTCCATAGATTTTCAGAGGCTGTATTAAAACTTGGATAAACTGATGCCAAATGCTTCTGTGCAATTATCAGCCCCTGTGCATTAGTTTAGCTCAGAGGCATGAAAGTGCCACCTGGAGCGCTGTGAGCTCAGCAGGTCTGTTTGTTGGACTAATTAACGATTAGTGCCAGGTATTTCTCACTGTTGAAGGTAGATTAGTCCTCATGGGTTGTTTCAGTCAGCAGGAACGTGATGTGCAGTCACAAGTAAAAGCTGTATAGTTTGATGCCCAGCTTAAAATCTTGTCAGGTATTTATTGTGTCAGATAGAGGAAGTGCTTCTAAATATTTCTGATTTTATTGCTTTACACTGAATGTAACAAAAATACCTACTCCGTCTTGGCAGTGCTTTTGCTTAGAACCGATCTAGTGTTGCTTGAGATAAAAATCTATCAACAGCTGTCATTCTTTTGAGAAACTAAATGGCATTTGATGGAAAGTGTAAGAATGGAATATCCATGGTTTGATGATCGAGCAACTTGTGTGAAACACAGGAGGAGCATGTTACATTTTTGTTCTTCCTGTCTTGCCACGCAGCCCCAGTCTGTGCTTCCCCACCTCTGAGTGGGTACCACAGCCACCAGGCATGGGGTCAGCAACTGTAGTCTATTGAATAGATGCATTCATTCACCTTCTGGTCAGAGGTGCATCTCTAAGGAAGTAGATAATGCATCTTAGAATATTTAACTTACTGATGATGAAAGGATCTGGTGGGAATATGGGAGGCTTAGATTCAAATGATGTTTCAAAAAAAAAATAAATCAAAAACATTTCCTTCCAGCTTGTTTTCTTTTCCTTCGAACACAATCCCTGTGTTTGAAGTGTTACCTCTAATGTATCTGTGGATGGAAGATTGTTCTGCATTCAGTGCCAGAAAGTTCAATTCACACCTAGAGTGAGAAAAGGGGACACAGTTCTGGGGTAATGGGGAAGCTGGGAAATGCGGGAGAGAAGAAAAGCAGTACAGAAAAGAATAAGATGACAAAGTTTGGAAAATACCCGAGATTTAAGGAGATGTGCAGTGTAGGAAAAGAGGAAAAAAGAAAATGTGAAAGGTGCAGAGACAGGATTTGTCCTGCCTAATGCAGATAGTCTAAACTGTATTTCAAAAGTAAATGCCTTCTGAAATACCTTTCCTACACGATTCAAGGATCCCTGTGCAGTCCACAAGGAGAGGTAGGTGCCCTGAGGACAAAGACCTCCAAGAGTTGTTAGGATCTCCTCCAAAGGCAAAGACACCTAACTCTTTTTGTTAATACAGAGCCCTTACCATTGATCCGTATAATTTGCCCAGTGGGCTCTAACTTCAGGTCAGAGTGCCTGTTACCACCTCTTTAGGCTTCAGCTTGGCATCAGAGGTTGGGTTCACAGGAAGGATGGATTTAGACCTGTACTGACCACATCAAGTCAAGGTCGTGTGCAAATGAGCATTGCTGTAAAAGGCTTTGCACACTGTAACCAAGTGATGCTGTTGGACGTCAACATGGGGCCAGATCTGTAATCAGGGCAGGAGTTAATGATCTGACCAATGCCAGAATTAAGTTTAGGCTTATGACTTTTATTTAAATCAAGATGATAAAGCCAAATGATTTAGAGCGATTTCTTAGTAGTCATAATGGTTATTACCAGTAGAAGGAAGAGTATTAATGCTAGAATACCTAACAGCACAGGGAGATGGCTGGGCTGGCAGCCAGCTTGAACCACGTAATGTTCCATAACCACAATATCTAGTGACAACTGATTATTTGCCACTGTTTGCTCAAAAATCCCTGACTTGGGAACATGCGTAGAGACCACATCACAACACTATTTTCATTCTGTTTTACTTCATGCTAAAAGATTTAAAAAGCCTGTAACAGCAGCCTCCCTTCAGCTCTTAACACAGACCATCATCACAAAGGAGAAAGTTTCAGGAATGCAGAACAGAAAACACAGAAATCATCTGCGCTTTGTTGCTGCGTTTGTGACTCTCAGTCTCTTTCTAAGTCTTAACTGGAAGCATTTCTTATTTTCTTCAGTCTATCATCTCTTTTTATGTTCTTTTTAATTCATCGTTTAAGTCTGTAATTGCACTGTGAAGCTCTTTGAGGTATGATTTGCATAAGGTATTGCACAAAACTGTATTTTATCAGCTGAGCATACAATCTCTTTAAAAGACCAGAAATAAGAGAACAGTGCAAGCACTATTTAACAGCGAGGCACAGCTCCATCCATGAAATTACAGATGGCAATGGTACACCATAATTTTGTGTAGACATTAACAGAGTACGTGTGGAAAAAATTACCATCTGGAGATAAGGTCAAAAGTAAATGGGCCATTTCAGAAAGCGGGGAAAGAATGCCCAGAACAATGACCAACACTGCAGTTTGTTAATTGTTTAATGTCATGTTGTAACTAGAACTAAAACTTACTCTGTTTTTGTATAGAAGGAAATGTATGCGGCATCACTGTGGGCAGCAGTTTCCAGAGTAGGCTCAGGGTCAAGGTTGAATTGGGCTGTTATTTTAGAAATGTGAAGAGCTAAGTATATTCCCCAGCCCTCCACCTACCCCATCAATGCAGCTTTAACAATTTTTATCTCTGTTCCCATATTTTCCCCATGACTGCCATTCTCCAGCTTAGTCATCTTGACATTTACGGCCCTGGGAGTGCTAGCTGGGATGGAGGGTATGCACATGGCAAACGGCGTCAGTTATACACGAGCGAGGAGCTGACATATTTCAAGTTACAAATACACATCGGTGCTTTCCTGGACTGGTGTATTAACAAACTTTCTCTTTTAATAAGCCTTGTACATGCTGACTTATATTTTATATGATAATTGTTTTTAAATACAGAATTAGAGAAAACAAAAGGGGAAAAAAGGGGCTTCTTTCTCACCAACCTGTATCTGAAGTATGACCAACTCTGCGTCCAGGGCTCTCTTCATTGGGAGTGCTTTGAGCCAGAATTTAATCTGTCTCTCTTTCTCAGCCACCTTCATCTTCAGAAAACTGATTTTTTCATCCATAGCTTGCATCTCAATATCTCCTTTTCTACACAAAAACTCTTGTACATTTATTTTTTCATATAAAATACATATTTCTTCTTCTCGACTTCTAAGCAGAAGGCCACTGCAATAAGCCCAAAAGGAAAAGGTAGGTTTTTTTAAAATTTTGGTTGATATTCCTCATATTTCATTCAAGAACATAAAAGGTAAATTTAAAAAATGATAGCAATAATCTGGGAAATATAGCAAGATTTCACAGATGCTATTTTAATATCACCATAGCACTTTAAAAAGAGAACAGAATTACAAGCTGAAAATCGGAGAACACACCTACCAAGATTGCTTTGGTGCTACAAGCTTTTTTTGCCCTCTACAGCATTCATTTGGAAAGTGGAGTAATGTGATTGGAAAGCTTTTCTCTACTCTTCCATATGAGAGCAGTGTACAAAGCACAGAGAGCAGAGGCTACAAGCTCTCAAGGCATTCAGCAGACAAGGTACTGTGCTGTCCTGTAAGAGTTCTGAAGAATGAATGGCTCCAGCAGTGGAGAACCAGCACACACATCCAAGACACACAGCAGCACAGGCGTCGCAGGCTGCTTGCGAGGCACCTTGGTGAAGGTGTCTTTGGTATTCTTGGTTAGACTGGCTCAGAAATCGAAAAGTATCGCTTCATGAATTTCAGAATGACCCACTTCATTGCATCACATTTACACACGTACCTCTCGTTTTGTTCCTCAATGGCTCTTTCGTACTTTCTGTGCAGTTGTGCAATTTCCTCTTCAACGCGGATAACATTATTGGTCAGTCTGTCAAGATCCAAAACCTGCTGCTTTTTCTTTTCGTTCATTTCATACATGACTTGTAGGACTTTGGAGCAATCATTTTTGAGACTCTCTGTAATTGCTACGTTATTTTTATTCTTCATGTGTTGTTTCTGCAGTTCTCTTTAAGGTAACAGAGAAGTAGGAAAGTTTTGAGTCCTTTCAATTTGAAAGCAATTGCAGCACAAAAAAGCAGAGCTTAAAATAATTGCTCAATTGCACAAAGAATCTTCTATGTCACCCTGCTTCAAGGAAGCATGACAAGAGGTAGAATCCTTTTCTGAGAATCGCCTCTGTATGAGCTCTTTCCAACTTGAGCAGATCTGGACTATGGCCCAGTGAAATGCTGTAACTGGAGCCTTCACCACAGCTCTTCTGCCCTGGGAAAAAACTTAAAGAGTAGAAGTGTGGACTGCAAGTTCTTAATGTGCAGTAAGCCTGTCCTCCTCATTTACAGTTCGATATTTAAATAACACGGTTGTGACTCTGAGGTCTCCAAGCTTATAATACACTGTATCCCAACATTCACACGAGATGGAATGTTATCAATCCTCCTATCTGAAAGATGTGGGAAAAACATCATAACAAAAGATTAGGGATAAATCACAACCATGCATGAAATTGAAGAAAAGGCATTGTTTCTGGGGACTGCCAGTCACTGGATGATGGTGCCTTTGCTCAGAAGACAGCTTCTTGTTGCCACGTGGAGCATTGCTTTGGTAACAACAGGGATTCAGACTTATTGCATTTAAACTGCACTAAGTGTCACTTCTGGACTGAGGCTACTTTGTGTACACTGGGAAGATATTTGTTAACATACAAAAGAGGTAGTGAAAGAAGAAGCACTGTCTCCTATTAAAATATAGAACTGCAGATGAAATGCCCTGCCTCTTATTCTCAGTTCCGTCATGTAGCTGCTGAATTACTCTGTGCAAAGCTGTGAGATTCTTTCTGGTTCATTTCTGCTTTTGCAAATCAACTTCCAGATTGACAGTATTGGAGAAATGCAGTGAATTACTTAATAGAATATGAAAAAAACTATATTTTTGGACTGATACTCTGTCTTCTAAATTGAGCAGCTTGCAGTTAAGTCAGGGATACCATGATGGATTTTTATCCTTCTTTCTCCTCTTCCTCTCACAAGTAGTTTATTGGGAAGGCCTAAAAAAATTTAGCACAAAACATCAGCTTGCATATGTCATCGGAATCCCTTCAGTCCACTAAGTGCCACTTCTTTTCATCTTGCTTCAGCATGGCTTTGAAGTCAAGGAACATGGAGATTAACTACATATATAGATTGAATTTATCCTGAATGCATTCTTAGGCATGGCTGTGCAATTTTTTTTTTGATGCCAGAAAACAAAGTTTTGGGCAAAATGAATTATTTCTAAACTTAGTTTTGGCTGTGCTGTTTTGCTTACAGAATTGACCCTTTCCCAGCTCCCTGCTTTCCTGGCTATTGATTTCAGAGATGCTGTCATTGTCTGTATAGCACCAAGCAGAAAATCACCACTTGGATGACAAAAAGATGGCAAAAAGACATCTCCACCAAGCACTGATTGACGAAAAAACAGAATCACACACATACCAGCTGCTCCTCCTCAGCTGTCAGTGTAAGCTTTCATTTTGATCAGGCTTGCCTAGAAGTTGAAGCCATGTTTTGTTTGATCTGAAATATTATCCAATAGACTACAGTATGACTTTGAAACAAGAAGCTCACTTCTAATTTAATAATTAACTGGCCATGTTACTAGCTAGTGACTCATTTACTGGTACCATCCAGTCTATTGTGAATTGTGTATGGACCTCCTTTTGCCAAAAGATGAGCACAACAGAATTGTTCATACTCATATGCTAGAGGCTTGAGAACAGATATACGAAGAAAGTATAAATGCAGTTTTTCACTTGAAAGGATAGGAAAATGAGAAAGAAGGCAGACAAACTTCAAAAAGGTTTCCTTCCCATGCAGTAATGCCCAAACTAATTGTAAATTGTTAGGATTGGAGCAGATTCTATAAGGGTGTTGCAATATTTCTTTTTTTGGATCAGGTACTAAAAGTCAGGGTAATAACTGAGAATAGGATTCTTTCTAAGAAACATTTTCCATTTCTACATCTGTGATTTACAGCTTATTTAAAACTCACCTTTCTTGGGTTATAAGAGTATTCCTTAAAGTTTCTCTTTCACTTGCTTTTACTTTTATCCGGTCTTTAATTTCAGTTGTTTTCTGCTGAGCAACATGCACCAAATGTATACATTTATTCCTTTCACTTTGGATTATATCACACATTTTAGCAACTCCTTGGAGTCTGAGAAGTGTGACAGAAATAATTTTTATAAGTTTAGGCATACATTATCTGGATAAAAATTACTTTATCTAATGTGTAATTGTTTTCTTACTCTTTCTGGACTCTTCTTTTACACTTTTTATACTGTTCTATTTCAAGATCCTTTCTTTTTATTTCTTTAATAATATTTTGAAGTTGCATCTGAAATTTAAATAGAATTCAGTAAGTGCTTTAGATTTTTCAAAAAGAAACAGAACAGCTCTCCTAGATGAGGAAAATATAGGCAGAATTCTTCCAAGAATTTGTTTTGATTACAATGAAATGCCTTTATTGTAATAACACTAAGCAACCCAGTCTCTCTATGTATACTATAAGTCTTACAATGTCTGCTGAAAATGTAGATAATTTATTTCATGCTCATTTTGAAATGAATGATCCCTGCTACCTGTAGTTCTACTGTTTTTATTGAACAGCCTGCAGTTCCATCTCAGTGTAGCTGTGCATTTGCACCGTTGAAGTTTTACCTTGAATTTATGATGCACTTTTTTTAAAGAAAAATTCTTTCTTTACTTTTCTGCCTTCTCAGTAGTCACTGGTGATTGAGTAGCATGGCACACTTACATTCCATAAAGGCTCTGCACATCTGATTTCAGTTCCATTCAGTCCTTACTAGTTTGTGTCCTTAACATTCAGTGGACAGACCTTCTCTCACCCATTGATATCAAGAGGATGATATAGGTATTAGAAAAAGCTGGTGGATGTCTGGTTGCAGTTCTGAACAGGAGTGTTTACTAGCAAAATTATATTCTTAATGATTTGGTCCATTTATGGACTTATTTTTATTCAATTTGCAAAGCCTGAACTGCTCCTTTGACTCTATTTCTTTAGACAGTCAAAAATTCACAATGTGCTGTAAGGATAGCCTACCCGATTTATTTTAATATGGACATACACTGTGGAAGTGTAAACAGTTTGTTCCTGGTATTTAGCCAGAAGAATGGGGGATTTTTCCCTCTTCCTTCAAATTAATAGAATTATTTGCATATGGAAGTGTATCAGGAAAATAAGAACTGGTGTCTCTCCTTGGAGTGAATAGTAGTTCTGGGTATCTTCTGATGTCCACACATTTGCAAAACAAAACAACCTTCTTGTACTTCCAAGGATCTCAGTTGGGGCTATCTGCTTTTCTGCCTCTTCCGTAACTGTTCATTTTATTCTGTAGCCTTGAAAGAAAACATCCTTTCAAACACCTTATTTCTACTGTAGCATGATATTTTAGTGCACTGTTGTACTGCACCATAAATTGCTACCAACTAACGGAGTACTATGAGCTGCCTGTGTTAATCATGGAATCCTTAGAGTTGGAAGGAACCTTTAAATGTCATCTGGTCCAACTCCCCTGCAATGAACAGGGATAGTTGTGATGAACATTTCCAATGGAACTTCAAGGTAAAGCGGGAAATGAGAGCCTATAAGGTTTTTCTCATTAGTGACTTAATTTCTTCATATAGCAGCTTTTGCTTTAGAGCAGACCTTCAATCATATGAGATATTTTGATACCTGGACTTTCTGAACTTCCCTAGATTTCTGTTCCTTCTCTTCAACTTTCAGCCAAGTCAGCTGTGCAAGTCTGGATAACTCACTGCGGCATCTGTCCTGCTCCTTGAACAGCCGGCCTTCTTCAGCAATACATTCCTCTAACGTGCGGGCATCCATACCCGATACCAGCTCCTGAGGAAATCAAAGTCAGTTCTTATGCCCTGACGTATTACCAGTGTTTGAAACACTTTGGCTTTATTTACAAAGCATACCATACATGGATTTAAAAATAAATGAATAACAAAACTGACTTAAAAGTACCATCTGAAGCACCACGCACAATCCTGTGGTAACATCAAAATTTTTTAGCACTTACAAAGTTTCTGTTCCTCCGTCCAGCAGCACTTCCAGCTGCTGAATATAAAAGCAAAGAATCAGGGCATGCAGTAAACTGTGCTGCAAAAGGCTTGGAAAACACTTTCTATGCTAAGAATCTCAAAGAGCTTTGTCTCCTTAAAGCAAAATAACTGTATATCGAGATTGGATTTTTTTTTTGTAGCCGTACAGTGAACAGAAGTTTGATAACAAACTCCTCAAATCAAAGGTCAAACACTTAAAAAGTAGAGTGACTGAAAGCTGAAACTAGTCAAACTCTGATGACAGCAACCAGACATTTTTAACATGGATTAACCCTTGACACAATTTGGCAGGAACTGGTCCTTTCTCTCCCAGTGTAATTTTGAAATCAAGATTTGGACTTTCCCTAAGTCTTTGCTGTAGTTCAAAGGAGAGTTTATTCAGGGAACTTCTATGATCTGTATTGTACTGGTGATCAGTTCAAATATCCAGAATGGTTCCTTATGCAACCTTCAAATCTGCTTATTTCAGGATGAGGTGAATGGATGAATTTCTGAGCTCCGCCAGCTATGGCAGACCATTAAGGACACAAACAGTGACATGTATGTACCTATGCATATCCAAACACAAGCTGAATCTCACCTGACAATTCTAATGACTTCAAAGACAGCACAAAAGAAATATGAGAAAAAGATAAGAGAATACGAACTTGGGAAGAAAGTATGTCTAAAATTTATTGCTTATTATAAAGTCATCCAGAAAGTGGCAAGTAGTAATACTCTTGTGAATGAGACATCTGCATTTCCAGCACATTTGACCCCGGTGAATATCGACAGACATCCACACATCTAGAGGAAGATGTCTGCACCTGTGGCAGGGAACTGTAACTAGAGGATCGTTAAGGTCCTTTCCATACAGATCAGTCAGAAACTATCGCCATTAAAAAAAAAAAAAAAAAATGGTTCCTTTATTCTCATGACAGAAAACCAATCATTACTGGGAATTAATATGAGAATGAAGAACTCATCACCTGTTTAGCTAAACATCTCTTTTTCATTTCAATTTCCTTCTGCAGTTCTCGTCTTCTTTCTAGTAATACTCCATTAATTTTAGGGATAGCTTCTGCCTGCAAAAATAAATCAGGCATTCTCAATGATGGCAACAAGAGGTGTGAAAAATGCAGAAAATCTATTTCAATTACTTATACACATGATGAAATTATTATTTTTCTGTCTTGTTGCAACTCTTAATCCAAGAGTTACTGGTGGCTGAGCAGAATTCCTCAGCACCATGCCCAAGTTTCTGAAGGTTTTCTTAAACATTACAAAGCCCAGTTTAAGTGATGGAATGTATAAGTGTTATGTTATTGGTTTAAATTGTGAAGGATTTTCCTGTTTCTCCCTGAGGCTCCAGGAAGTCCAAGCAAACAGCATAGCTATGTACAACTTTTTCTTGTACATTATGGGAGAACCTGTTTATTCAGCCAGATTTTAGAAAGAAATGCGAGAAGGAAGAAATTACTTTCTGATTAAATCTGAACAATCCAACTGAAACCATTTGTGTGATAGATCTTGTGAGGCACCAGGTTTTTTTGGCCTCACAGCACTCTGGTATTCACTTGCACTTAAAGAAAGGATAACATGGCATGGTAAAGGTCAAGCTCTGAGGTTATTTGCTATTTGATTCCAGCTCTGGGACAGGTCAGATCTGACTTAGATTTGCTAAAAGGTCGACATAATCCATGCTAAACAAATTGCTTTCGCTCTCATGGAGGGAGTGAACACAGCATTTCTGCAGTGTGCATCAGTTACCACTTCTGCTGTGCTGTTACCACTTCTGCTGTGCACTTCTGGCTGTGGCGGATGTGGACACACATTTCCAAAATGGGATTCTAAAGGTGCCGTCAGGCCCCTGTGTATGGAAGCAGAAAGCTCCTACCAACATCTTTCATCCATCAAAGGCTTCTGTTGGCATCAGACAAGACTCAAGCTTTTGGCAGGAGACCAGGCCAGGGAGAGGAGCAGCAGCCCTGCCCGGGGCTGGAGGCAGCCAGGGCCGCCAGTTCTCTTTCACACAGAATGTCACTTTAGCAATAGCTGACCTTTCACAACTTACTGAGAAGAAAAAAAGTTGAAGGAAGTGTTCATGTGATTTCCTTATTCTACAAACCAATTGCTCTGCACTTAGCACATCACTTAAACTAGGAGAAATCTGGGGAAGCATGTTGATGGACTGCTGCCTCTGCAATCACACTGTTATATTAGCTATTATTCCTGGTGAGTTTTTTGCTTGGCATCACCTTGAATATTAAAATACGTCAACTTTTGTGCTCCCAAATCTTTCAAATGAAAATCATCTCAAGATAGCAAATGAAAGCAGAATTGAGCTTGAACTGCAGTTCTCATTCCAGTCCTGCATGTGAGCTGACTGTGCTGCAGGGCAGAGGTGATTTCACATTTTCTCATCTAAAAGAGCCAAGAATGCAATCAGAGAAAACACAGACAATGGGACAGATGAGCTGAAAAGACTGTATTGTCCTGGCCTGTTCACGTTGTCACACAGCAGCATCCTGCAGCTTCTGGAGAATGATTCTACTCTGAGCTCCACCTTTATCTCTGCTGGCATTCCCTCTCCCGCACACCTCGTGGTGCTGCAACTTGCAACACAAATTCAAGCCTGCAGTATAACCCGGTGTTAGCACTGAGGGAATCCCCTGCAATGCAGCTAAACCTGTATGGTTCCATTGCAGGTCTCTGGCCCTTTCACACAGTGTAAAGGGGTTGGGTTGGGATCTCACCCAGCTCAGTGAACTTTAACCACATCTCTATCAGTGAATGACGGGGTTTGGTTTTAATATCGCGTGACTTTGAACAATTGTGATCCTCCCTCCAGAATTCTTTCTTCAACAGCAACACAGGACAAAATTCAGCTTCCCAGATTCTCTGAGCTGATACCCAATAGAAACGCAGCATGATCTTTAAGATCCAAGTCTGGAATATGTGCATCCCTTTAACCAATAGCTCAGGAAATTCAGGTTAAAAGTTTAGGTGTAGTTATACAGAGATTTTCCTCTTCCCAAGAGTGCTACCAAGTAATAAATGCACGTGTGAATTCAGGAGAAAATGTCATCTTCATGTATAGAAGAAGACATTAAAAAAAAAGTCTGATTGACAAAGATTAAATATTACTGAGTAATGTTTAGAGTTGGAAAAAATAGCAAAGCCAAGTATACGTGGGTTCTGATACCATAAAGTAAAGAATTTTATAGTGATGCAACAAAGAGTTTCTTTTTCTGCTTAGAAGGACCAAGAAAAATGGTGCTGACACAATGTCATGTTAAGAAACATCAACTCCTTGTACTTTCAAATCAGATAATTGATATATTATTATCCTGCAAAAAAAAATACCGACTAAGCATGACGAATTTTATGAGTGACTTACAGTCTAGAAAGAAATGTAGGAAAAAAGCTTAAGAAAAAGGGATTAGAAGAACCAGTGATGAGAGGAAGTTATTGGGAAAAAGCAGACAAAACAATGTTTTAAGAAAGAATGGGAAGAAGAAAAGAAAGGAAATGCTTCAAGTAGACAAGCAAACTAAACTGCTCTTTAATAGCAAGGTAATAGAAGGCACAAAAAATAGAGTAAATCGGTATGAGAAGAGTAATGGGTGATACACTAAAACAAGGAGGAAGCTGAGAAAAGAGAAAGTTCAGTGGAAATGAAGGAAACATAAGGAAATATATATATATATATTTTACCAGACTATATAGAGTGCTAATTTCCTGCCCCCAGAATAATGTTAAACACATCATAAATTATTTGCAGCAATGTTCAAGCAATCTTCAAACTTAATAAAGATGATCTTTGTTTGTTATCTGATGTGAAACCCAGGACCTGGGTAATATGTGGCTATGTGGCCTTATTTGCCTGATACAAACTTCTTTGATGCCAGCAAGCAAGCCGCTGCGCTACTGCACATAGAATATGATACAGTGCCTCAAAGGAGGACATATGCCACAGTGCCAATATAATCAATGCCAGCGCTGACTAGGATGCTCCTTCAATTACTGTTTCTTAATAAGAGCCCCAGTATGGGTTCACACAGTATTCTCACTACAGCTATAAAAACTGAGAGCATCCTTAGTCAGTAGCTGTGGCACTCTTAACACTTCTCTGTGCATAAGACATAGAAAAGTCTTATCCTACTCCCTCTGTTAGGATTAGTCCAAGTATATCATACATGAATTTTCTGCAAGAAAGTTTAGAATTCTTATGATCAATGTGTTCATACAGACCTCTAATTTCAGTGTTTTGTGCTGTGACTTGTCTTGTTCCAAGGACTCATAAATCGTGTTCAGCTGTAGCTCCATCTTTTTCAGATTTCTCAGGTCTTTATATTTCTCTACTTGCATGTGAATGAGAGTTTCCCGTTGTTGTTTTTTCTCAAGGATTTGTTCCTTTAATGCATGGTTCAGAGAGTCTCTATGGAGATAAACAGAGAATTTCAGAGACAGGTAATTTGAGCAAGATGTGTTTGCATCAGGCACAATCATTTTAATGGGGTTTGAGTGCAAAGTAATTATCTCCAAGCAGGAAGACAAAATCATGATGTACTGCCACAAGTCACCTTACAATTAGCCGGTAACAATTTTATAACTTTAAGAAATGATAATATTCCTAATTATGTCACTGAGGTCTCACAACCTGTTCTAAATCTGCTACAAGTCTGTAGAAGATGAATTATTATAGGAAGAAGACATGGTTTTTTAGTATGTTTACGTGGTCATGACCCTCAAATATTTCAATTCACAGTGCCGCTATCCTTTAACATAAAACTTCAAAGGCAAAAGCATTTGTGCTGAGAATACGACCATGATTATACCTGTACTTTGTCCTCAGGAGTCAGTTGAAGCTTATGACTGACCTAACAGCTTATTTTAGTTTACCAAGTACATATAAGATCAAAATTTCAAAGAGAATATGAAAGCTATGAGTGGCCAATTCCCATTGAAATTATGGAGTATGGGGCAGAAATCTGTGAGTCTCATCTGAAAATGAAACAGCTGAACTTTTTTTGCTCAGTTTGCTTTCTGTGGTCTACACAGAGAAAAATATATTGTCACTGCAGGGAGAACCATTTTCCCTTTCAGAGCAAAATGCAGAGCTTCACTCTCCCAGGATTTTGTCAAATGTTTCTACTTCTTGATGTTCTTTTCTGAGCCAGATCCCAGAGACCAGCAGTTTATAGAAACATTCCTGAAGACAAAACCAACTCTGGTATTTCTGCTCCATCATGGTTTCCACATAGAACTTGAAAACATAAGCAAAGCAATACCAAAAGAGATGTTTCAGAACAAAGTGCTCCCTCACTCTACACAGCTTACATCTACGGCTCTTACCTCTCTACCAGGATCACCAGTTCCTTTTCTCTGCCAATTTCTAGCAATCTCATCAAAGCAGCACATTCTTGTTCTTTGCTCTCCTGCAAAGCTCTTTTTCCATCCAATTCCTTCATTACATCTTCTGATTCTTGCAAGATATTTTCTGTCGCTTTGTCAATGTCTTTCAGGGCACAGTTTAACTCCTGCATTTGGTTATTAAGGTCTTCATTTTGATTCTCTGCATCGCTGTGGATATGTGTTAACAAAAGAGTAGAGGTTGACATTGCTACATGTGTATTTAAATGACAAAATTTAGGTTGTCAGTGTTCACAGGAGCACAAAATTATTTCAAAGCCACAGCTATCTGCTTGAAATGTACAATAGCAAGCTACTAATCTTCACATTGCAAGACAGTTCTGCATCAAACTACAAATGATCGTGGGGATCTTAGCACCAGGACAGTGTTAAAAAATGGTAACGGAGCTCTGTCAGCATCACTGGATCCAGGGTTGTGATGCTTCCAGCTGTCATTCCAAGGCTGGAAGCTCAGAGTTTGTGTCTGTGACCTGTCTCAGGTAGAAGGACTCATTTAAATACTCCATTAATAATCTACTAAGTGCACTCACTCTTTAAAACTGCTTCTCTGTACCACAATAGGGAAAACTTCTTGTACATACAATAGCAGAATCACATTAAACATTAAGCAGAGTTTTGAGGAGAAAATAAAAGAAAACTATCACATAAATTTTAAAATTGAGAAATTTAACATAGTCAACCAACAACTTTATTTCTGACAGGGACTGCAGGCAGGCAACACAAAACTCTCTGTGTATCCCTGTGTGCTAGCAGGGCACATGTGCTCTGTTCAGCTGGATGGGCACTTAGCTTCCAGCAGCTGGGAGCAACCAGGCTGACACTGCAGGTACCAGATAGATTTTACACATGCAGAAAGCAGCACATTATGCTCTGATGGAGGACAAAACAGCCACGAAAACAGAGCAAAAAAAGGCTGCTGACTGGCTTGCTTTCCCAGCTGAAATATTTGACAGAGTTCACACTGGGAGCTTATAGTAAACAGCCTCTGCCTGGCAAACCGCTGTGTATGCATGGAGGGAAATGCTTGTTTCCTTGGGTCAGACCTCCACCTGTGTGAAAACTGCTGCAGTTTCCCTTGAGGCCAATGTAAATAAACTTATGTGCACTCACTGAGATCTACAACATATAAAACAGGCGAATTGCTGTGTTACACACTACACATAACAGCTTAACTTATTAACCATTGAAAATCTACTAAGCAGATCTGATATATATTAATTACTGTAGTGCAGTAAGATGGTTAAATAATTATCAGCTTTGTTCTCTATTTTTTTTTGTGTGCTTAAATTATATACAAATATAGAATAGTTTTGGTTGAATAGACCTTAAAGATTATCTTATTCCAGTCCCCTGACATGGACCGGGACATCTTCCAAGAGATGAAAGTATTTAAATGGAAAGTATTTCACTGCATAAGCAACATTTTTTAGAAGGGTGCATTGATTTTGAGTGGATTGTCAACACTGTTTTAAATGATGATCCTAATTTCAATCAACAGCTACTCTCTAATGCCTGTGTAACAAATGGATGAAAACAAGGAATACATACATACATATATTTATTTTATTTACTAAAAGCGTACATTTTTTTCTGATTCATCTTCTCAGCTTCCTTTCTAAGTTGCACTGGAACACCAAGGATCTTAACTAATTCATCCTAGCAACAAAAGACAAAGGTTAGGTTCATAGCCTCACAATCTTGGGTGATTTAACAGAATTAATACTCATATAGAACTGCTGTGAAACTTGGCAAGAAACCTATTTTCAAATTATTTGAGCTTATCTCAGGGAACTGTAGCTGCTGCTTTTGAAAATAATTACTGTTATTTACCATGTCATTATGTCTGAAAAACAAGATTCCCACTTGGATGCAATTAATATGCCTGCATATGTCATCTATATCATGAAAAGGAAAGCTGCAAAGACCTGGGTGCATTTTTTAAAATTCTCTGGACAAATCTGTACTAAGTTGGATGTGTTAGAGGAGCCTTACAATAACACAACATAGCAAACACGACATTTTGCAAAGCACTTTTACTCAAAACCATGACTTCTATTATTTCCTATAGGAATAACAGTGAATATGGGACAGCAGTATATCTCATGCTTGTTGGAAAATGATAAAATCCATACTGTAATGCCATTAAATGAGTTGGAATGACAAGCAACATCCTCTGCATCCTTAGACTGCACTGTAGATTCACTGCATCCTTAGACAAGAGCAGGCACCCACACACACATACATGCACAAACACAAAGATATGTGCATAATTAATTTTGTGTTACTTTTAAACCATCCTGGACCTCCAGAAGCTTTTCCACTTCTTTCTTATCTATTATCGTCAGCTTCTGCTTGGATAAAATGTCTTCTTTCATTGCGTTAACTTCTGCTTTCCTTTGGATTACTTCTTTGAGGAGCTCATCACAATCTTCTTTCATTTTTTTAATTTTCTTATCTGTTTCCTTTAAAAATGAAGTAGGAGATGAGATCCCTTTACATTGTTTTATGTTTCAGATATTACAGAATTTATTGACACTGAATGATGCTAACATTTTTTACAAGGTATAAAATATGATCTTTTCTTCTACTGATAATTAGCAGAATTCTATTTCCAACAAATATGCATGTGTTCATCAGAATTTGACTGCAGAAGTATTTTGCGTACTCACGTCCTATAACTTGTAGCTATCTTTACCCATTTGCTGCATACTGTAAAAAAATACTGAGTAAACTTAGGAATATCCAGATCTTTTATCAATCAAATAAGCACTGCTTCGCCTACAGTCATCAGGCCTGAATTATTTGCTATCATCTCTCCTATAAAATCAGCTATCTATCTTTCTACGTAAGTTAAAGACCTTTATAGCCATGCACTGTGAAAATATTTTCAGAGATGTTTTGGTATATTAGCAGACAGAACAGAAAACATGTCTTTTCTCACATTTCATACTTACACCTTGCTTTGGAATTCTTTCATAGTCTTTTTCCAGAAGTCTTTTCTCTTCTTGCAAACTGCAGGAGAATCAAAGCAGAGCTAGATGTATTAGTAATACGTCAAACAAGGAACAAGTACTGAAGCCTCTGTTCTGCTCCACCAACACATATGGTGAGCTATCATCAGGGACAGCTTAAGAGTGTTCAGATGTAAACAGAGATTGCTCTCTACTAAAAGATAGGTCATACTCAAACAGCATTTATTCTAGTTCACATATCTAACCATTTGATCTGGACTTTCTTAGTCTTACCACCTCCTGTACGGTTGCTTTTGTTCCTCCTTCACCCTTGTGGTAACACTAACAAAGTTAGAGAATCAGAAACATGCTACACACTTCAACACACTTCACAGCACTTCAACATAGAGCTGAGGAAAAGGAAAGAGTAGGTGTGCAAAGTATATCCACAAAGAGACCACATGCCAATGAAAGAGCATTTGGGGGTGTGAAACTTTCTTCCTTTGATTGTTCACATTCACACTGTAAACAGCTGAAAGTAAAGTTCCTCAAATCTAAAATGGGCTCCTGTGACAAAATACTCCTGAAAAGTGACCAGGGACATAGGCCAAGGCAATGGGACATAGCAGCAAACTATACTGAAGAGCCAAGGTGACCACAGAATCATAGAATGGCCTGGGTTGAAAAGGGCCTTAAAGATCATCTATGTCCAACACAATTGCAATTTCATGTCTGGCATCAGAGACAGATGATGGAGAGCAGAAGGAGGAAAGGAAATATAGGAGAGCTCTGGGTGTGTTTTCAGCCAAGTTGCCCTGAGAAAGTTGAAGTGACAACAAAAAATGGAGCTGAGTGAGCAAGCATGTTAGACTTAAAACAGGAGCTTCTTGATGGCAGATAGGTAAAAACTGCCAAATATCACAAACTAGCCTTGGAATTAGTGAGGGAATACATCAGTACAACCCCAGTGCATGCAATGAACAACAACCTGAATGAGGTATATGGTCTACAGCAGCTTGCATGTTAGCACAACCAAATTGAGCTTTAGTCATTGTAGCACTGGTGGGGGATTAGTAAGCAGGTTCTCTCAATACAATTAATATTTGTGATGACACTTTTTGAGTCTCAAGCTATAAATGAGTAATGATTACAACTAAGGAGCAGGTGAAACAAAACTATTTGTCCCAGATATACAAAAGAATCAACTTCAAACAATAAATCTGTGTTTTGTTTCTCCAACATGAGGATGTGCTGGTCAGTTCACCTGGAGCCTCAGGGTTGTCTGCAAGAATCTGCTATCCCACTCTTTAAATAAAGGGAGAATTAACAGAGGCAGACAGGCTTTCATGAAATAGTTGTGTCACTCGAGGGTGTAAATTGTGGCAAGAAAACCCTGGAGCAGCCTTGATTGCGCAGAGCAGGTAGATATTACAGGTCTTCCGAATGTGGGTCACACTGAAGAGAGGCCACCCATCAGTATTTCTTGGACACCTTCCAGGGGCAGCTTCAGTCTTTGCAAGGCGGTGGTTCACTTTTTGGGTGGTAGCAATGGTGGGGAGAGATCAGCTGACTGGTGGCCTCCTCCTCGTGGAGAATCCTTTGGATCTCTTGGTCACTTCTTTATTAGTGTTTTTTGTTGTTATTGTTGTTTGTTTGTTTGTTTGTTGTTGTTTTTCCCAGTAACTGGTTTCTTATGTTTTGTGTTTTTTTTTCTTCAAACAAAAGGAGCAAAACTTCTATGCATAAGCCCCAGATAAAGACTTTTCAGTCAAGGGAATAAAACAGTTAAAAGAGAGCTGAGCTGACAGTGTTGCAATTCAAATGTTCGTGAAGAACAAGGTCTGACTCAGATGAAGAGCAAAGAGGAAATAAAGACACAAAGTAGAGCTTTTTATTTACAGTATGTACGTATATTTGTTTGCGCAGAGTGCAACAATACCTCCATGGGAACTGCTGTGTCTGAAAACTGATTTGAATGCCAGAGAGAATGAGTGTAGGAAAAGTTTTTCAAAGAAAAACAAATAATTTTAGGTCAACTGTCCCCCCCAAAATGATGAAAATATTTACAAAGGAAAGTTCCATTTCAAAATTGAGAAACTGCACAGAACAAGATTGCAGACAGACACAGGCATATCTTGCACTGTACAGTGCAAGTATAACTGAGCAGACAGAAACATCAGGTGGTTTCTTTGCTGAAGTTGGTTCAGGAGTTACTGCTTTTATGTCCCACTGGTTATAGACAACAAGGGATCAAACTGTGATGAAAATTGAGCTACTTTGATTTGGTGATAGAATATTTGTTCCCATGTACTATGCCTCTGAACTACAGCTGAGACCTACGTTGAAATGCTGTGCTGGTCAAACTCAATATTTCCACCTACTGACAGGTTTTCTGAGTGTATTAATAAGTTAACAGTGACAATTTGTATTCCCAGCATGTGTGGGCAGGATTCCTAGCAGGACTCCTTGGGACTGGCATAATCACACTAATTGTAATGAATGTTCACTCTGCACAAATACCCACAACTGTCTGACTGCCACAGAACCTGATTAAATAAGTCCTGCTCAAATGGATTAAAGACGTACTGCAGTGGTCATCATCAGTCTGCATTGTGCCCTCTTTTATATTGCGCCAGACAATCAAAAGAACAATCAAAAAAATTAGGAGGAGAACACAGTTGACACTGTTTTTCTTTTGTCACATTCCTCACTCATGAGGACAGATTCCTGTGGAGCCATTCCAACCTCACAACAAAGACTCTGCCATCCATCAAAAGTAAAATGATTTGAACACCTCGTTTTCTGTGACATAAACAAGGGCAACAGGACACTGCAAGCACCAAGTGAAGTTGCCAGAGGAGCTGGCATGCTGACTTCTATTACACAGAAAACAGTGAAGGGATAAAAAAAAATGGGGGCGGAAGGAAGAGGTGAAAGACAGGGTAAAAAGAAAAGAAAAATGAAGAAGGGAAATACTATTTTTGAATGTAATAATTTCAAAAAATGTGAACATTTAAAGAATTTACTACATTAGTTTTACATACTTAACATTCACTTTTGCAGATTGCTTTTTTTCATTTTGTTTTGCTAAAATTCGTATTTTCTCCCTGACACTGTTAGTTTTTTGGCAAAACATTATTTTAGTTTCTGAAAATTGTTTCCATTGGATGCCCTTTCAAAAAACTGCCTTTAAAAATTGCATTTCAATTTTAAAATGAATGTTTCAAATCTGGACTTAAGTTAGGTGCTAAAACAAAACTCTTTCTGTGCATTCAGTGAGTGCTATTGGTGTGATTTATCTTACCCTCGTGAGGATATGGTTTCATGAATTGTTATGACTCAGTTTAATAGATTACCACCAATAAATATTGAGCATCTCAAAGCTCCAGGTTTCTCCTCAGCTCTTGGCCACAGAACCCTCAAGGCAGCTCCAGGGTTCCTAAGAAACTACTCTGTGAGCCAACATAAGTCATTAAAACAGCTAAAAATCACCAAATCAGACTTTTCTTTTTCTCTTTTAGTGAGTTTAACTGGCTCTCAGAGTTGAAGTGACTTATGGGTGTGGACTAGGGCAATGGAAAGGGAGAGGAGCATACATCTGGGAGCAGGAAAGGAGTGTCTGTGAGTGTTTCTTACCTTCTACTTATCTTTGTGAAGTTCAATAGCAGAATCATGCATTTAAAGCTATCACGGATGCAGAAGTAATGAGTTAAAAAAAAAAAAAAAAGCATGTGGAAAATTGGACCATTAATGAAAATGCATTCCAGACTTTTCCCTCAGAGATGTCTACAGCTGCAAACTGCTGCAGAAATAAAATAAAATTGTCAGAGAGATTAAGAAATGCAGTGGTAGTTGTCAACAGAGGTTCATTTCAGTTCCTCCGCAAGCAAAAGAACATTCTCAATGCCATGAATCCCAACACACAAGGAAGTGAACTTCTTCAACTGCTCTTACACATAGTTGGGACTGCTGAGGTACCATAGAAAGTGCTCAGCACTTCACAACTACAAACCTCCCAGCTAGTGACCACAAGAACATATCAGAGCTAACAAGTTGCCAGCATGGCATTCCTGTAAGGCTCTTAACGCTGTTTAGTTTGTACACACTGGAGAATGCAGTCATAAGATGAGCTGGTACCACCTTCAAACTGTAATCTAACTTATTTATTAATTGTAATTCTTTACTAGATAAACTACGGATAAAAACTTTTCCCTTTTTAATTGCTCAGTGACTAATACTGAAATAATTGCAAGCATTGAAGTAATTTTCCATACTTGTAATGCTTGTACAAGAACAAAATCTGTTTTGCAATCCTGATTTGTCTGCAATAGCACACAGGACTTGAGTGAGTAGCCATTTTGTGAGCTGGGTAACTGGCTATGAGGGCTGCGGGTTAGACTGGGGCTTCGGGAGAAAATTGTTTTCAAGAATCAGGCACACTTAACCACACAGACGCTAGGTATAAATAATTTAATTTTAAATTAATTGCTTACTTTTTAAAGTTTAGGTCATATATTCATTTATATGACAAATTCATTATTTATCAGTAATGAGCAATAACTGGTGCTATGATCAAATAAAGCAAAGCAGCACTTCCTTGTTTTATCTCAAAAGCCAGGGCTCCAAACCTCACATGGGCAGTAAAATAAATTTTTTCTTCAAGACAGAACCCATCTTTGCTGATCATATCAATCCATTTTCAGTCTATATTCTTACTGAGGCACTTCCAGTTGTACAAAACAATAAGTAATTAAAACAAAAGATGAAGTACCACCTTCAGATGTTGAAAAATGTATATGATCTGGAAAAAAAAAAAGGTTTATAGAGGCAAGAAGACAGGAAATGAAAGATGGAAGCGGAACAGAGAGAAAATATTTAAGTGACAAAAAACCCCAACAGTGCTATGCTATATCACTATCATTCTTCAAGAGAAAAAGAAGGGACTACAGAAACAAGGAAATGGAAGGTCTTCAGAGTCTCACACTTGCTTCCATCTAAGCAGGCAAGATCTTACTTGAGACTCCTAAGATAAAGATAAAGCAATAGATAAGAGACATGGATTCCCTTCAAAGGCTTTTCTTCTTCACGTTCCATTCAAAAAGGTAAATAAGCAATATGTTTGTTTTCAGGCTAAACAGCCATTAGTCATAATTCCCGAAATTTTGTTGTAAGTGCCAAGCACAGCTGGGACTGTTATATTAACACAGTTGGACAGCAAGGGAAACTGTGCTCCAGAGAGACCGATGGCCAAGAGAGATCGGACTGCGAGAGGAGATTCTATCCTTCTGAAAAATGAAGGGAACCAAGCAGACACCTAACACCTTAAAATGACTCTGAGACACCTTACAGTATCTTTGGTGAGGTTTGCCCCCAGGCTGTGAGACTGCTCGTGCAGACCTACATGTCAGAAGGTATAATTTATTGTGTGGAGAAAACCATCAGGCACAGAGTTCTTCATTTTACATCAATGCTTTTCTTAGAGAACCTGCTACTCATTACCCTATTCTGCAACCTCAGTTCCACTTCTTTTACTCAAACCAATGCATTCCTTCTTTACAAACATATTAACATCTGCTGTCTGTTTTTCTCCATAGCTTGTTTCTTGTTTCCACATCTACATTCATTTATTCATTCCTCACATTGATATGCTACTCTGCCAGTCCTATTCATTCTACCCTTCTTCAGCAAAAAAAAAAATCCCTCTCATCTCTGGCAAGTTAGTGTATTCTCTCCCAGAGCGCAAATCCACAGGTAACTGAGGCATGTTCAGTTCACACCAACCCCGCAACAGGCACGAGACCTGGTGCTGCCATGAGGCACAACACTGAATAAGGAATGTTTTAAAAACCTGTGGCTCTTCACTTTAGAATGTGGATAAATGAGGGGGAACGCAACAGAGATCCATCAAACCATCCTGCAGCAGTGAAGACAAATAGGGGTCCAGATGTCTGGCCTCATGCAGTACAACTACCAGCATGAAATGAAGCTGCTAGGAGTCAAAACAGATGATTTAGGCTTGAAATAGATAAGTGGAAGTGCTTGTGGAGTTAATCTACGGAACTCATTGCCCAGAGTGTTGCAATGCCAGAAGTTTATATTGGCTTAAGAGGAGACAGGAAAAGTTGAAGGAAGAGGGATCAGCTGAGGATTCTTAAATAAAGAGGAATGCATTTGGCTTGTGAAATCTCTGTCTCACAAATGGATGACTGCTGTGCTTTTGGTCGCTCTTAGGTACTGCGCCATATGGACTTCGGATCAGACCGTACAACTGGGTTTGATCTCATGCAAAGCAAGAGGCCACAGAGAGGAATCATGGAATCACAGAATCATAGAATGGCCTGGGTTGAAAAGGGCCACAATGCTCATCTAGTTTCAACCCCCTGCTGTGTGCAGGGTCACCAACCACCGGTCCAGGCTGCCCAGAGCCACATCCAGCCTGGCCTTGAATGCCTCCAGGGATGGGGCATCCACAACCTCCTCGGGCAACCTGTTCCAGTGCATCACCAAGCTTCTTATAAAAGTGAAATAACATTTTTCCCACTATTGCTGACCCAAACCATATATATTTTTAACTGACGCTATAAGATTTTAAATTCAAATTTAAGGATCAATGAAGAAAATGTTCAAGGGTAACTGAATATCTAAGTTGTGGTTCTGCAGGACATAGAAATCTCCCTTTAATTAAAGGTAAAAAGTAGAGTATGAGTAGATATCCCTTAATCATACAAAACCCACCATTTCTTTGGAAATGTAATACAAATTGGTGAGAAATGTTTGTAATGAGTGAGGAGAAATGGGTCAAAAAGCATGACATTTTGAACAGTGTGTTTCTGGATTGCTTGTAAATTTCAATACATTCTGTATTTAATAATTTGTCAGGAAATCTCATGATGCTTAGTTATCTCATAGCAAATAATTTTTTCCAGATGATTTCTCTATTTCTCCCACTCCCAGTTTACTTCCTTCTCAAGTTTCCCTCTTAGAGAAAACATTTGGCTCTTCAAAAAATATCAAGGAAGAGCTGCCAGAAAAATCTACTCCATGCAGCTCATGCACTGCTTCTGATTTCCTTGTAGAAGATTAGTTTTAACCGCTGACTTGCTGACATTACTTATCTAGCCTTATGTGCCAACTGAAGTATTGCTGGTTTGAAGATAGGTAAAAATGGTGAACACAAAGTGAAAATATGAGCTCATCTCCATAGGAACGTATTTTTAAAAGTACAATAGTGTTGTTTGTAATTTTACTGTAGAAGCACCAACTACAATACACTGATGTGCAAATGATTCAGTACAATACTGTGTAATAATTTTTTATAAAATTTTCAATATTCACATCTTTCACAGCAAATTTCTCATTTCTCAGATGTGAGAGTATAGAAATGATTTTCCTATTTTAAATAGCTGAGTAGAAATTCCTGAATAAAATGTGTTTTTGATGTTAAAAATAGCGTTGAGTCTATTTATGACATTGTTTCCATAAAATCCCAGTCACCAGAGCTCTGAGATACTTTAGCCATTAGCACTGAAGGTGTCCTTAGTATTGAAGTTATCCTAGACTAGAACTGGTGCTGAAAGTTTTGCTTTCAAAAAAAATTTTTTTTTTTTTTTTTTTTTGCTTCTCCAAACATTAATGGTACAATATGATAAAACTAAAGTTGTATTTCAGAGAATACCTTCTAAAAGAAAAATTATCTACAAACCACACACGGGAATAATTTTATTAATCTCTGAAATGTCCTTAATAGGCAAGTTTGTTGCAATTTGCTTAAAAATAGCTGTCAAGAAATAGATCCACGTATAGTGGAGAGGAGACTGAATTACATTCTGTTATTATGTTTTTAGATAAACTATGATAAAACAAGCAGAGATTTGATTGTTATCACCTACCATTTTATCCTGGACTGAATTTCATGCTCTCTTTCTTTAATAACGTTGTACTCATTTTGGCAATTAAGAAGCTGTTGCCTTAATCGGCAGACTTCACTGGAAGATTCTTCAGGGAACTGTTCTGCTTTTTCCAGTTCATGCTGCTGTTGTTCCAGGTCTACACTAAGACGTTTGGCTTCCTGCAACAGCTGGATCTCAGATTCCTGTAAGCTACATTAAGTAGAAAAACTTAGATCTAAGCACAAGCATTATATTTACATTTCTTTACATTTCTGTAGTATATAAAGCAATGTTTTGGAGATGAGACTGGATTAAGTCATGTGCAATCTGGTTGGATCTCATGGCTGACCCTGATCAAACAGGAGGTTGGACCAGAGACCTCCTGAGGTCAGTTCAAACCTGTGTTGTCTCCTGAGAACAGTGAGACTTGTTGAAAGGGGATTTTCTGCATCTAATCTCATTTAATTTTAACCAGATGAAAGATGGTCACTTAGTCCAAGTTATTCAGAGTTATTCATCTAGCACCTCCTAGAATCAATGAAGAGACAGCAATTCTTTTTAACCCAAGGGGTGTGTGGTATCAGGTAGTGGTTCAACTCACGGATTACATGGAAAGCATTCTGAATAACTGAAATACTCCAGAGGGATAAGCAACATTTTACTGCTTAGCTTCGGTAACTACACAGCGTGCAGAAAAGGACGGAAGTGAAAATCTGGAACCTTTGCTTCCTGGCATGAGAAAAATGCACTTTTTCTCCCACGTGACCAGCAGTGACAACAGACAAGTATGAAGATGAAAACCAGAATTAAGGTTAAATCCTAAACAATTAAATTCAGTAGTAAAAGTCCCATTCACAGAGAGTAAATGCACCCCTTTCAGCACAAGTTACTGCCTCAAGAACACAGGAAAGGGATTTGATCAACAATACAAACTGTTTTATCACATCAGTGTGCTGACCAGTATCAGGGCAGTATTCACCAGTACAGGGCCCAGCCTGGGCTGTGCAACACCTCAATGTTCTTAGCTAACTCCTGGACATGTACCCAGTGCTGAGCCACGTGTTGCTGTCGCTGGAGTGTTACCAGCAGTTGAAGCAGCTCACCTGATGATCTGAGGCTGCAACTACATTTGTGGACTTCTCTGGAAACGTATTAGTGGAACTGAGGGATCATCTGAAATCACCTGTGCCACCAAAGTTTGGCTTCACGAAAACAACAAATTGTAATATTCTGTCAGTGCTAACAGACTGGTGCTCACAATATGCTTGTGAGCCTGCATGGTGATAGCCAAATAATGGATCTTAAAAACTGCTATTAAAATACACTGGTAATTATGGAAGAGTCTTGTTGAACTGCAGCGTGAAAATTATTATACATTGTTTGATAGACCAACTTAGTCTTCTTGCTATTGCTATCATTGTACATGCCTTCTCAATATTATTGAATTGTAAGCTGTATACAGTGGCATGCTACAGTTAGTCAGAAGTAATGAGGAAGAATAAAGAACTCAATCACTTGCCTTTCATTAATTAAAAAATGTAATTTATTATTTTTAGAAAATTATTGTCTCCTGTACTGAGAATCTCTACACCAAATTCTAGCTCAAAGATGACAATTGTGAGTACATTGCAAGCTAAGTAACAACAAAATTACATCACAACAAAGAACAGAACTAGGATGGTAACTGTAAAACATAAAATACACAGCCGACTACATGGTACGAACATGCTGAAATAACAAAGAAAGAGTTTTGTTTTGTGTAACATTTCTAGTTAAATAACCACTTCCTTTTTTAGAACAGAAAATAAGAAAACCACAGTGAAACAGGATATAAGAGTGTGTCTTTATCATGAACATCATGCTTTGACATATTCATATAATAATATTTCAAGGAGAAAATTGTTTGAGGTATCTACGCAAGATCCTAAATAATGCTTAGATCTTACTTAAATAAGTCAAAATAATGAAACTGATCTGGGGAGAAAATATAATTGGATGCAATAATACACACTCGTTTATAGAATAATTCCTCCATTAAACATAAATTAAACATAAATTTTATATAAATAATAATTTTATATAAAATTACATTAAAAGTTCTTCCATAAAAACAAAACTTTTATTATTTATTTTTTTTCAAGGTAATAAAAAGGAAAAAGCAATTAAAAAAAAAAAAGAATAAAGTAAAAAACAGAATCTATACCAGATCTTGTTCCTCATAGTTACCAACAGTATTTTTTCACGTGAAGGTTTAAATTCCAATGAAGAAATGATTGGAAATCTACACAGTGTAAATGTTTAGATCCTCATGTGTGCAAAAATATGTTTGCCCAGTGTGTGAGGTAGCAGCTTTTGGATTAGTGAAGGGACTAACAATTTCTTATAGACTTAAGAAGATAGGATTCCAAATTCATCAATAACTATTATTACTTTCTTACAGCTTGTTGTGTGAGAATATTTGTATTTGGCTCCTCACTGGGCTTTGGGCAGTCTGATCTAGGGAGAGATGTGCTGGCCCATGGCAGGAGAGCTGGACTAGATGATCTCTAAAGGTCCCTTCCTACCCAAAGCATTCTATGATTCTGTCATTTTGTGCAACTCACAATTGAGCCACATGTCTGTTTGGCCAAAGAGGTTTTCTAAGATGAAATATGAGGTAAGGTACTTAAGCTTCAGATGCAGCCTCACTGCAAAACAGATGGGTGAGACAACAGCAGAAACGGAAGGCAGCCTGTTCACAGAACTTCAGTAGTGCAGCAGACTTTCAGCAACATGTAACAGCCTGACACAGTGTGTCAAGGATCTTGACTGCCGGGTGACATCTCTCAACTTTTCAGAATACCAAATTAAGTAAAACTGAAACCAAGAAATAATGAAGTATTTACCACTAAGAAAAGGACCACAGTATGCGCTAACCAGTGTGTGCTCCATCAGCTGCCTTAAAACAATCTGCGCGCTTACTAATTTCACTCATCACATTAGACAGACCTGCATTATATACCAAGAGGTCACTTGCAATAGTTTGACAGAACTGTCACAGGGATCTACACTCTTCATGGTGCATAAATCCCACGTTGTTACCTCTGAGATAGATGCATGCAAAATTTTATTCATAAAGTCATAGAACCACAGAATATCCTGAGTTGGAAGGGACCCTCCAGGATTGTTGAGTACAACTCCTGGATCCCACACAGAATCATCCAAAATTCAAACTCAGTGTCTGAGAGCACTGTCCAAATTCTTCTTGGACACCAACAGCTTGAAGCCATGGCCACTGCCCTGGGGTGCCTTTTCCAAGCCCATCTCCCTATGGTGAACAACTTCTTCTTAAGTTTCTTAGTTACCATTTCCTGGTAATTAATGATAGGAGGCACAGTAATGGTACGAAGCAGGAGATGGTCAGATTGGACATTAGGAAAACTTTCTTTACTGTGAGACTGGACAAGCAATAGAACAGGCTTCTTAGAGAGGTGGATGGTGTCTCACGCCTGTCAGTGTTCAGGAGGCATCTGGATTATATCCTCATTAACTTTTGGTTAAGACAATTGGGCTAAATGATCTCTGAAGGTCCCTTCCAACTGAACTATTCTCGTCTAGTCTAGTCTAGTCTAGCCAAGTCTAATATTCAGTCTGAACTTCCCTTAGGTGACACGAGTCATAAGCACACTAGAATTTTTATTATTTTTCTGCCTTCAGAAGTCTGATTTTTTGGAAGGGTGGGCAGGGTTTCACCTCAGTTGACTGAGACCAACCGTATAAACATGTATTCACCCTATCATCTGGACTCTGATTATAATCAATGGACAAAAATAGATGCCTGGAGATGTCTGTCAAAGAAGAAAGTGTATGGTTCCTGATATTGAGTATTAATGGCCTCTAGGTACGTAATTCAGCTGTGTGTATCTACAGAAATTCGGGCAAATGAATCTCGCCTTTACTGTTTGGAAAGTCCTCAAATATAGCAGAGATTGTGATGAATTTTTGATTATTGATTTCCCTTGCTTTCTTCCAGAAGTAGGAGGAATTAATCTGTGGAAATTAGCATTAGTGCATTCATGTGTAAGTGTTCTGCTTTAACACATGGCTAATCCAAGTAAAGAGTGCTTTGTGACTCCCTCCAATTGACTTTCTTGCAGAAATACAGCAATTGCATACTTCTGTGAGAACAATGAAGAGAATGAAGGCTATAGTCTATCATCCAACACACTTCTGGTGCATGGCTTAAAGCAATTTTATGTATAAAAGAAAAGAGTTTGGTCTTGTTTTCTCTCAGGCAATATTTCACCTATACTACCTATAGAAAAAAAGTTGCCATTATAAAAAAATATATTTTATATTAAAAAAAATGCTATGAAAATATACAAAATAAAGTAAGTATAGACATGATTGCATTTTTTCCATCCAAAGACAGGTTTCAAATTAACACTGGCTAAATGTAGATCATGTTTAGTAGCTACTGGATTTCTCCTTCATCTCAGTGAACACTGGTGTGCTAGAAACATTTTTAATCAATTAACCCAAAATCCACATCATATATTTAGCTCTGAGCATCAGCCTTGGAGCCTCTACGGCATTGAACTGGTTTAGAAGTGCTGCTTTAAATGCTGTTTCTCCAAAATATTTGATGTGCACTGCTCTGAATAAAGTCAAATGACTTTTTACACAGCCAAAGCCTTATTCTAGCTTCCCATTTTATTAGGATGAAACTAAGACTTTTAACTTTAGGATCCTGTGTTTTCAGGATCAAATATATTAGTCACAAAGACTTGCAAATATTGGAGTCCTGCCACTCTATTCAGCCCAGTAACACAATACTATCTACTCTTCTTTTCCTTCTACTCAAAGAAGAGCTGAAGCCTGGCACCAAACTACAACCACAATCCCTTGTCTCAACAGAGCAGGGCAGACTCACAGCTGCCACACCTAACTTCAGACTTTGAAGCTTCAGGATATACTTAGGAAACTGTAAATATTGTACCTTCTCACAGTTTCATGCAGCAGGTTGTACTTCGCCTTCAGCTCAGCTACTCTGGAGCCAGTAAGTTTTCCAGCAGAAAATAGCTAGGGAAGAGAAACAGACAGTTACAAAATCTGCTAAGCACTAATATTTTCATTATGCTGTAATTTTTATAACCATAATTAACTCCCTTAATTTAAAGAGGTTTTGGTCATGAAAAAAAAGCAGTTTGGCTCAAGCTAGACTACACCAGGCCACAGAACGTGCTGCCTTATGTATCCATGCAGACCTTCAGCAAACTCCAAGAGCAAACTGCTCCAGTAACCCAAAGCTACAAAAGCCATGTATCTGAGCTGCAGCTTAGATATCTTGTGAAGATTCTTCAGGTGTCTTCAGGACAGTAATTTGGCCTAGAGAACCAATGCTTAATGTAAATAGAATAGAATATGTAAATAGAAATAGAATATGGACCCAATTTTGCCAATGGAAGAAACAGCAGCAATACAATGGCACATGATCTGGCTCTACTGAAGTTGTATTGAGTTCATGAGGCCACAGTCAGCCTTTTGGGGCAGCAAGTCAAATATGCAATTTCCCAGAAATCTGCCAAAATTTTGCTTGTCCAGATCTCCTGAAACAAGAAACAAATCTTAAGTTGTCTTCTGATGCAGCACCAAGAGAAGAAACCCAGAAGTACTTATGTCCTCTAGTCCTTTAGGCCCACAGAGAAATGCCTTTTCCCAACTTGAGCTTTTAAGAGGACCATTTAAGAGATTCATATGTGGCCTTTTCTATAGATGCCTTTTTCTTGAATATCCAGGAGAAATTGTCCAGAATTAGTCCTACAGATAGGAAGCAGCCATCATGTGAACGTACCAGGGGAAGCATATATTGTATTGATAGATGTTTTACTTATTTATTTATTTAAGATTTGCTGCGAAACATTTCAGGATAACAAGGACAATCTTTATTTTATGTAGCTACGAGAAAAGGAAAGAAGATCTAATCTGGTTTTTATTTCTTTGTGCGAGATGAAAGATAAGCAACTCTCAGATATTTATTTTGGCATCTTTTTCAAGCTAAAGATGCTGTTTACTTGAGTTCATAGCACTGATTAACTCTTCTGTGAGAAAGAAAGTGTTTCCCCAACTCTACTCCCATTAGCCTCCTGTGAAAGTATTGTTGTTCTAATTAGGTATTATCTCACTATTGTCATTTTCTCGTGTACATCTCATCCATACCTCTGAGTTCTATTTTTTCTTCCCGCTTAGCTTCTCACTGTGGACATAGGTCATGAACATCTCAGAAATAAACTTACTTGTCCTTGAGTCTGTGTTTTCTCCTTTATATGCGTTAGTTTTCTACATGTCTTACACTTAATTTCACAGTTCAGTTCAGAGGTAAAAAGTCTGTTCCAAAAAGTTCCCACACTGTGTGGAGACACCTAATCTTGAAATCTCAATAAGGCAGGCTGTATGGATAGCATAACCACCATGTCAAAATGGGGCAATGCTTGTGGAAACTGTCATCTCCATACAGATCTCATTACCATTAAGTTACCTGGGATCCAAAGATTTATTACTGAAGCCCAGCAAATTGTTTTCTCCAAAATTCTTTGGAAGGAAGAAGGGAAAGAAAGGAAGGAAAGAGAGTACAGCTTGAGGAGAAAAATATTTGTAGAAGAAGGGAAGAAAAGTGAGAGTTAATTGCAAAAAAAATGTATCTGTAATAAGACATACAGACATATAGACATATATATGTCTATATGATATATATAGATACAGGATTTACTGTTGAGGCACAGGAGTAGCACAAAGCCAGATTACCTTCATGTGACCTGGTGTCAACAACTAACTTTTCATCAGGTTACCAAACTATTCACTCCTATCAAACTGTTTTTCCTTTCTCAGGAAAGTATTTTCCCTGCTAAATCTCCTCATTAGCACTGATCTCAAATTGCTCTTTATTCCAATAGCATTCAGTCATGTGCACTGCTATTGCTAAAAACTTGATTTACCAATGTCAAAACCCAATTCATGGGTTTAACTTACATTGAAAATGATCTTGGATTCACAAAAAGTTCAAATTTTAAGTACAGTAACTATTCTTTTGTTTTTCTCCAGAGTTTCGTAGAATATTTTGTTGTTATTCCATGGTACAGAAACAAAGACATTTTTCCTTCATGGCTTGTAACTGCAGACCTTGCATATCTTCTTCTGTGGTGACATGCTTCTGCCCCTGACATTCCATTCCAGGTCATCTCATCGCATATCTTTCCCGTATATTTTTGTTTACAAGGGCAAAAATTTTATGGTGGAGAACAATATAATCTAAGTTTATTTTTAGCCAAAAAAAAAAACAAAACCAACAAACCACATGGAAAATCTGAGGGCAATGATCCAGAACAAATCTGTACTCATGAGAAGAAATTTTACTTTTACAAATTGACATAAATGGGGATACTTGAAAGAGTGAGCATTATTTGCATAGCTAATGGTTGAAACACTGATTCTTACTATACAATCTTCAAATCAAAACATAAATAAAACAAAAATCTACATCTTGCTTTTTTTGCTTACTTTCATTTGGCTTTAAAAGAAGCTGTTGGAATCGAAATTTAAGTCATGTCGATAATTTTCTGTGTTTGGGCTTAAAATGGATTTTGTCCCAAATGTTGTATAAGATGAAATGAGCATTCTTTTTCTATTTAACCTTTTAACAAAAAATTCTGAATTGTTTATATTATATATAAAGAATTACATATAATTCTTTATATCTATATTCTTTATATTGGTGAAACCAATATAAATATCAACAGTAGAAAAAAATAAATTAAACAAATTTAGCTGAAACATAAAGCTTTGAACCGATTAGTCAGCACACAGCCTTAAGAAGTACACTGTAGACAAAGTCCAAAAGAACTGTAATAAAACTGAAAGATTTCCCTGCCTCACAAACTCCATTTATTTGTACTAGGAATGGTTACCTATCTCTGCATAAAGACAAAGAAAATTTTCCACCATTTTATTTTTATGGATTGCACAAACATGACTGTGGAAGGAAAAAAAAAGGAAGCCTATATTGATACACATACATTGGTACCAAGGACCTTTTTGGAATTTATTGCAAGAAAGTACACTTTGAAAAAGGCTCAGCAATTCTTAACTGAATAACATTTATTCTGTGAAGGAAAATCTTGTACCACGTAACTGTATTTTATAGAGTTTAGAACACTGCCATGAGTCCTGACATGCTTTAATCCGACGGTTAATTTTATATAAATAGTCCTCCTTTCCTTGGCTCACAGACTTATTCTGTTCTGAAATAAGAGACATGGGTGATATTTCTAAAGGACCTGTAAGGCCGTATGATGTATAACAGTAATTCTTCCTAAGTCAGAACAGTTAAAATCTCAAGCAGGAATATTAAGCTCATATATTGAATTCCTGCATGCCAGCTGCCCTCTAAACTACAGGTTTCACATTTGGATCTCGGAGAAGTATATAAAAAGTCTTTTTTATAACCAGATGCCATAATATAAAACATTTCTGCAGCTTTATTACTCAGCTTCAGCATTAGATTTCTTTCTTTTATGTCTTTTTTTAAACACTGAAAGCTAAATTGGAACTAGAATTCATAAATATTTCTTTTTACTTCTATTTTTGAACGTGGACAATGGATGACTCATATTTTCCATTGAGAGTCTGCCTGATTTGAATTAGGGTCACCTTTGTCTTTTTATCATACAAGGCATGTTTTAACACAGGATAAGTAACAACTTAACTCTTAAGCATAAAAATGTTGTTTTCTATAGCAAACTGATGTTGACTGTGGGGATAGATGGAGTATAGACATTATTCTTTCCTAGCCAGGATTCTACATCATGGTAGAAGTTTCAGACAATTAACATACATTAAATACACAGGTATGTGCAAATCTTAAGTGCATATACACTTTCATTAATTTGCCTCTGCACACAGATGAGAAGGCCCTATTCCATTTCATTTGATCAGTAGCAACTGTTACACGTAATCTGACACATTGCTGAGGCAGGGTAAATAGAGAGCAGCTCAGCTGCATAATTAAAATCTGCATCTGATATCGATCTGATTATATAAGTTTTGTAAAAATTATATAAAGTTATACTATATCTATCAGCAATGAAATAAAAGTATACTTTTTCCATAATATCGATTATAAAAAGCATATACAATCACAGAATCACAGAATCACCTGGGTTAGAAGGGACCTCAAGGATCATGTAGTTCCAACCCCCCTGCCTAGCAGGGCCACCAAACATACACATTTAGATCAGGTTGCCCTGATCTAAATCATTCAATCATTAACTTGACCATGTTATAAGACACAGCATAATACAAACTAATTTTTAAAAAATTATTTGAAATGGATTAAACAAATATTCACATTGCTGATGCTTTTCTGCTCATTCAGGCCAAATTTGATTTTGCAGGCAAAGTTTTTACATAAAATGATTAACGAAGCTTATTAAGACTTACTATTAAATTAAAAATATACGTATAGATGGACTTTGAACAAAGACATTACAGTTCTCATATATCATTTTGGAAGCAAAATAAAGTTAATCACTTGTTTAAATAAATTATAGTTCACCTTACAATGAACCTGGTCTAGTAGCAGCCCAAACCATTCTATGACTCCATAAACAACAGACGCAACAAAAACAGCAGTGTACTTCTGCAGTGTAACTGTAGGTGAGTTTCCAGGTTTCAACCTTAGGGAAGTAAGGTTGCAACTTTGTTCAAGGAAAGTCATCATTCAGCAACACACAATTAAAGCAACTGATGATAAAATAGACAATGGTATTTACATTCCTCCACACATACAAACATTTCTAAACAAAGGTTTGTGATAACTTTCTTTGAGTTTGTTGGATCCGTATTGGCCACTTTAAGGAAAAAAAGAAAGCAAGAAGATGCATACAAGACAGAAGTGCAGTGTTTAAGAGGTGATAGTCAATGTTCCCATTCCCTAAGATGCAATCACCGCTCATTTTACTGCTTGTAAGATCCCACATTTCTAACTAATACAGTAGTTGTCTTCTGCTGTATTAATAAAGGTCTAT